ATATCAGGGTCTCATATAGTCCAGAATGTGGACAAATTAGATATGTCCCTGAGAATGACCTTGAACTCCTGATCCTCCTACCTCTATCTTCAAATGCTGAAATTAAAGATGTACCATCATACCTGATTTTTCTGTGTTGAGATTCAAACCCAGGGCCTTGTGAAGGACAGGCAAGAATTCTATCAATTGAGCTACATTCCCAAATATATATCTTTATTTACAATGGAAATCAGAAAATAATGATGAAAAGTAGAATGACCTTGAACTCCTGATCCTCCTACCTCTATCTTCAAATGCTGAAATTAAAGATGTACCATCATACCTGATTTTTCTGTGTTGAGATTCAAACCCAGGGCCTTGTGAAGGACAGGCAAGAATTCTATCAATTGAGCTACATTCCCAAATATATATCTTTATTTACAATGGAAATCAGAAAATAATGATGAAAAGTTGCATTGTTTTAATAGTTTTTTTCAATATAGGTCTCAGTCTAATAACTGTAAAGGAAATTCAGAAGTGTTATGATGTCTTTTGACTTTTTGCAGGCATTGCTAAAGATGAATTTTGATTCCATTCATCGATTAATTGAGGAAACGCAAATCTTCCAGATGCAGCAGTCAACCGTTAAAAGTCGCTGTGAAGTGGCACCACCTGCGTCTTCACCTCAAGATGTCTGTAGTTCTTTCTTGCCGATCCATGGAGTAGCACCTCCCCATGCCCACAATACGGGGGTTCCCTCATTTACCACCAACAAATGGGATATCTGTGAAGAACTTCGCCTGAGGGAACTGGACGAAGTAAAGGCCAGAGCAGCTCAGATGGAAAAGACCATGAGATGGTGGTCAGACTGTACTGCCAACTGGAGGGAAAAGTGGAGCAAAGTTCGAGCTGAAAGAAACAGTGCCAGGGAGGAAGGAAGACAACTGAGACTGCAGTTGGAAATGGCAATGAAAGAATTAAGTGCACTGAAAAAACAGCAGAGCCCGTGGCCTCAGAAGGAGGTCGCAGAAGGCAGTACCACTCAGGACCTGGAGCTTCCTAGTGGCTCCAATGTGTCCTATGAACACAGAGACCATTTTCAACATCATTCACACATGGGTGAATCTGCCAGAGAAGGTTTGATGAGAAAACAGTTCCCTGAAGAGCAGAATACACCTAGTAAGGTGAGAAAAATAACCCAGAGAAGAATCTCTACATTATTTACAGCTTGAGTGGTCTGTGAGGTGATAGGATGGGGACTCCTAAAATGCCCATCTTAAGTCTTAATCTGAAACATTGCCATAACAGTGTGTCACAGTTGGGTGGCCTGGGCAAGGAAATGCATCTATTTGTTTTGTTTTAGTTGGCATACAAGCTAATGGGCTTCATTATGGCATTTTGACACACTTTCTTGTGTTGATTTTCCCCACTCCCCTCCTTTCCCTGTCTTCCTCCTGCTGACTCCTTCCCACCCCACTGGTCCGTTTTGCTTTCATGCCCCTTATACTGTTATTATTCTATTTTCCCTTCTCTGAAGTCTTTGTTTTCTTTATTATCATAGACTCCTTTCTAGTTTCATGAGCTGCATCCCCTTACATACATACATACATACATACATACATACATACATATATACATACATACATATATTCAAAAATCAAAATCTAGAACCTATATATTAAAAAATGGCATTTGTCTTTTTTTGTCTGCCCTGCTTCTTTGAACGTAATAATGTCTAGTTCCATTCATTTTCCTGCAAATGTCATGTTTTTATTTTTATTTAAGGCTGAGTAAATTTCTACTGTATGTACTACATTTTCTTTATCCATTCACCTGCTGATGGACATCTACAACAGTTCTCGACAGTTCTTGTTCAAGATCAAAGTATCAGCTGGGTATATCTCCTGAGGCTTCTCTCTCTGGCTTATAGGAAAAAGAAAAACCTGACTTTTTCCTGTTATTCTTTCTCTGTACAAGTCCACGTTCACATTCTGTTTTTGCAGGGACAATGTCACAAAGCCCATTTTAATAGCTTCACTTTAACTTCATCACCTCTGCAGAGTGACTGACTCCAACTACAGTTTCATTCTGGGGTACTAGGGATTAGGACATCAGCATGGAGAGACATAAATTAACATATGATTATTTCACTAATACTTTTTAATACCCTTTTAATGTGAACAGAAAGTGTGAGGAATCTTTCTGTACTCGCATTAATTTAGTCAATAATAATAACAATAATAGGTTCCTGGGATATTTTAAATATTTCTTTAGGTGACAAAATTTGGTCTTACAACTATATCTTTAAAGAATGATGCCTTGCGCAATACAGGGACTGTCCACCTGATCACACTTGTAATTTCTTGGCATAGTTTAAATCTTAAAGTTCTGAGACTTCTTAGGCTGGAGAGACGGCTTAGTGGTTAAGAGCACTGGCTGCCCTTGCAAAGGGTTCGGTTCTCAGTACCCACAAAGAGACTAACAACCATCCAGAACTCCAGTTCCAGGCATTCCGACACCCTCTTTTGTCCCCTGTGGGCATTCCATGAGATGAGTGCACTTACATACATACAGGCAATACACTCATATACATAAAATAAAAATAATATATGAAAATTCTTTTGTCTTAATAAAGCTTTGAGACATCTATATACAAACATAAAATTTCAACTTTGTTTAATCTAGCAGTTTATACAGTTACTTTTCCATGAGCTTCTGCTCCTTTTAACTTGGTAGATGGTCCTAATAACTTGAGTAACCTATTTTTTACTTTTAGGAACTCCTTACCTCCTGGCATTGTAAGAATAAAATGTAAAATCCAGCTGCTTCTCAGACCACAGTTCCTGCAGCTTCCTTTCCCTTTACATAGATACTGATGGATATCCTACGGAGGCACTGTCAATGAATCCTTACCTAAAGGACTTCTGAGAATCAAGTTTTCTCATGTGTGGAAATGAGTTTATATCAAGGGAGGTGTTGATGACTACACATCCTTGCCTCTCAGCCCTTCCTTACCCCATGCCTGGGAATCAGCCTGATTGTAGACTTGTTCTGTGAAACCATACTTATTCTCAGAAAGGTGTAAGAGACTCCCACTTCTGCTACACAGACCATGATTTTATATTTCCTCATCATGCTGTTGTCTATCTATATATCTGTCCATGACACTAATTGTTCTTCCAATAAACTCCAAACCCCCAATAATATATCTCAGTATTACTCTTGAACATAGTGGTTCATACCACTGCTCCTGTAAATGTATTACATACAACCTTGTAGTCTGGCCTGAGGTCTTAAGGTTTCTTAAACTGTGTAAAAAAAACGGATTCAGATCTATTATATGAAATGTACAAAAACTCGATTAAAATATTTAAAAAGCATGTCAAATTTATGCTAGTTATATCCTAAATTCCATTACAAAGTAAAATTTTAAAAGATTAAAGTAATATTGATAAAGGGGAAAATGGGGTCCTCTTTCAGGATTCTTGGTCTCATGCATAAAAGAATTTAAGAATAAACTTAAATTGAAATTTTAGGAGAATTTTATCATACTTTAAGGAAAAGTCCTCAGGGCCAGCAAGTTTTAATCTCAGCAGCCTGTAGGAGGGGAATGAAGGGGATAAGGAAAAAAATGAGTCACAAAATCACACCAATTAGAGCTGGCACAGAGGTAAGAAATATGGCTGACTAATAGCCACATAGTGGGGAGGGGAAGGGAACTTCAAAGAAAAATAAAAGAAACATGAAGTGTTGGAGCAACCAAAGTGTGAGGGAAAGCATGATTAGAAAAGAGATATAAAGAAGGAAAAGAGACACTACACATTTCAAAAGGCAGGCAGACTTACGAAAAGTCACGTGTCTCCGCCCAGTCCAGAAATACTCACTTGCAGCGGAGATTCCAGGCATAAGTTCACCATATCATTAATGCACTAGGTATTCCACCCATCTCTTTAACATGACTTAAAGTGAATCCAGTTTCCTAGGGGTAGTTCTGTGACCTGGTGATTGACCTGGAAAAACTGGAAAGTTAAGGTTCCACTCAGGCCAGAGATTTGTGTTTTCTTGACCAGATGTCTCTTCAGGGGATTTTTGCCACTAGAACATGATTATTTCTCTTCATTTAATTTCATAGATTTTGTTTGTTCATTTGCTTGCTTCTGTGGATGCAGAAACAAAACTGATACATCAAACAAGAGAAGAGATAGTTTGTTCTGGAGAGAATTATGAGTAACCATGGCCCAGGAACATAGCTCCAGGTTATGCTAAATTCCATATTTCAACATGAAAGCAGTTTTATGAAGTTTTTATAGAAACAAGGAAGTCATAAATCAAGCCACTTTTCCAATATATTGGTGGAAACATTAAGTTGGCAGCTACAACAAAACAAGGAAAACTCAGATCCTATCTGATGACACTCATAGCCCTTTGGTTGATGGAAACTAAAGTTTTCTTAAGTTTATACACTCTAAAATTTTTTTATTTCTTTGTCACGAAATGTTAGATCAGACAAAGTGGTAGGCAAGGAATGATTATTTAAGGGGCTAAGATGCCCCAAGATAAATTGTAAATAGGCTATGGATCTGTTGCATTCTAAATTCTTCACAATTGTTGAAGTTCTGTTCAGATAATGAGCCTTACAGAAGGTTCAGTTTGGAGGCTCAACTTCTCTCTAGGAGCTTTCATTCATACTTCTCACTCTGGGATCCTGGCACTTTTAGGTATATTTTTGGGAAAGTGATATATAGTCTCAAAACTCAGTTAATAATACACCAATTTAAATTTAGGAATTGTGTTGAGGAGGTAAGGCCAACTTACATGGCCTAAGCCCACAAAATATTTCTTTATTGTAACAAGTCACTAGATTCTACACTTACAAAAGTTTAGGCCTTCATGCATGTACTCTGGGAAATTCTTAAATGCTTATTCTTTTATTTGGATCACCTTTGGATCAGCAATTTCAAGAACATATCATATGTAGTGTATACTTACTAAAGTTTTTTGGGTAAGAATAAATAAAGTTCCTTACAGTTATAGGAAAATATGTATTGGCAGCTGAAGAAACTTTAATCAGCTGTTTAACTGGTTTCCTTGCAGTGTCTGGTCTAATGAGAAAAAACTGAGCATTCATAGCATAGACACTATTTTCTGTAGTCTTTTCTTGGACATATCTATATCCATATCTATATCTATATCCATATCCATATCCATATCCATATCTATATCTATATCTGTATCCGTATCCGTATCCGTATCCGTATCCGTATCTGTATCTATATCTATATCTATATCTATATGTCTTCTTTATTATTTTTCCAAAATAACATAAATAATTCTGATAATAATTTTGGAAAGAATTATATGAATACCAGATAGTTTGGAATTCACTAGTGTTTTAAAAATAAAATATCAAAAATGAGCCAACAGATGTGGATGCTGGGAGCTGAACTCAGCATCTAAACTGTATGCTGTTAAGTTCTGAGCCATCTGAATTCGCAGCAACGGTGACAGCATGCACAAGTTCCACATAAGTTTAAGCCAGATGAAGCATAGACATGGGGAGGTGGGCAATAATTCCCACCCTTACTACCTAAGTAATTATTAGCAAGAAATGGCTGCTGTGAAGGGGTGAGCTAGTGTCATTTAAGGGTGAGACTCTTGATAGGTTGATCAGTTTCTAGGGAATAAATCCACTGAAGGGCATTTGGGGACACAAATTTTGACTAGATAGATAGATAGATAGATAGATAGATAGATAGATAGATAAAGTACATGAAATTGAGCAGGAACTGATAAGGAGTTTGCAAGTAGAGGAATATATTATACATAATTTTCAAAAATTCAATTAAAAAAAGAAAATTGTAGGCATATTTTCCAAAAAACATTTGGAAACTATTGACAAAATACTACAGTATTAGAAAAGAAAAGTTCTTCTCAAATAACATAAATATTCAAATATTCAAAACTACTGTTTGCATTTTAAAGTAACATGATAATGTTAAATTTTATTTCCTAAAATTTATGTCTCACTACACTAATTAAATTATAATCCATGAATTATATAAAAATACTTAATCCCAATAAGATCCCCAGGTAAAAACTAAAAAGGAACATTAAAACATACACACACACACACACACACACACACACACACACACACACACACACATATATGTGTTGCCTAGTTTTATTGAACTTTGATTTATTTTATTTTCACCTTTGAAGTCAGGCATATTTAAACTATATATCAGGCATATATCTGATAATATTAGTTCAATACAGTTTAAAATAGTGACAGGATTTTTGGTATAGTATGATATTCTGGTAATTGATGTCTGTTTTATTAAAATGTCTTTGGACATCGTATTTGAGATTCAGATCACCAACTAAAATTCAATGAATAAAAACCTATTAAAATATTCTAGACTTCCTTGAAGTGTCTTCCCACACTTTCTTCAAATCAGTTAGTGTTTTTCGAAAATCTCAAGGGCTAAGTAACAAAGTAAAATATAAAGAATTAATCGGCTTATTAAATAGCTCATTGCAACATTTCAAGTTTTTATAGATTTAGTTTTATCTTTAATTAGGCAAAGAAGACAAACTAAAAGTTAAAGCAGACCTTTGAGATAGTGTATGATAATAAAGTAGAACACAGAGGGAAAATCAATTTGCAGAATGCCATTTACTTTGGCCAAATCACAAGTCCTACTGAGTGTTAATGAAATGAAAATTTGAATATGATGCTTATCATTACATTCCATTCTTTTCGACAATATAGTTTCTTCATGGTTTTTATTTTTCCTTGAGGTTGAAATACTCGCCAATCATTATTTTATGTTTTTCTTTACAGGAAAACTGTGTGGACATTTATCCACCAAGAATAAAAGAGGAGATAAAGTCCAACCTAGACTGTATGGATTTGTGCAAGAATGGTGGTTTTAGAACCCATAACCAGACTCCTAGGCTAAAGCAGCAGGCAGGGCATCTGCCCTTGTTGAAGGAAGTGACTGAAACTCCAGCTGTGCAGGTGCATTTGTTTGAGTTTCAAAAAATCTTATGGAAGGAAAGAGAGTAAGTGCAATCATTGCCTCCTTAACCAAGCCTGGGGCCCATTTTTAAAATTGCTACATACTATCCTCTAATAACTTATTTACCCATGTGTATCATAAGTTGGAGGGATTAAAAAATAGTTTGACATATATCCATATTTTTAATTGAAAAAATAATTTGTGGCTTCTCAGGCTTTGCTTCCTCTTAAATTGATTTTTATCAACATCATGTTTTCATCATCTTTGGTAAAATAATATTAACAGTGCTTAAATTCTTGAAGTTTGTGGTCAAAAATATTCAGCATATTATCTATTATAACATCCTTGGACTTCACTAGTCAATAAAAATGAAAAACATGCTGAAGTTATGAATGAAAAATCAAAGTTTGGATAAGTATTGATGAGGAAAATGGATATTTTAATAAATTTTCTATTGTAGTATGAAGAATATCAGATTGTAGTTTAATGATATCAAGTATAGCTACTAATCTTGGATCTGATATATTCAGGTCTATGATCCTAGATATTATATCCTTTGTAAAATATGGGCAATAGTGTGCTGTGCCTGTAATCTACTTTTAGAATAAACTTACCTAATAATAGTTCATCAAGCCACAGCCACTGCGTATTCTATGAATCTTGAGCTTGGCTTAGCCAAGCAACCCTCTCTCACATGTGGCTTCAGCTGTAGTGGCCTAGGATATCTGAAAGCTCCCAGCCATGCATCTGGTGGTTTATTTTGATTCTTATCTTGGCCTTATCTGTTGGAATGCTTTTATTTAACTGTTCATGTTTCCTGCCTGGCTTCCTCACAGCGTAATTATTAGATTGCAAGTGACTGTTTTAAGTGTGCACAAAGAAATGAATGGCCTTTAAATGACCTTGCCACAAAAGTCACAATAAGTGTGAAAGTCATGTTATCATGGTGGCAGTCTCAAGGGCAGACTCGTATTGAAGGGAGGGTACATTCTACATAGAAAGGTGTATTAGTTCATTTTTTTATTATTGTGACAAAACACCCACCCAGAGAAAGAAAGATTTATTTAGTTTTATATAATAATTTTATTGATTCTTTGAGAATTTCAATGTATTTTGATAATATTAACCACCACCCCTCCCCTAATACCTGCCAAATCCACCTCCACCTCTTTTCCAATCCCTCCAACTTCCTGTTCTTTCTCTTTGTCTCTCTCTTGCTAATAACCCAGAAAGTTCAATTACTGTTGTTTATATACTCGTGGGTGTGGGGCCATCTACTGGAGCATTGTTCACATACCAGGGATCATTCCCTTAAAAAAATTGACTCCCCTCCCCCACAAGCCATCAACTGTCCATATCTCTTCAGTTAGCAGTGGGAGCTCATATACTCCTTCTATGACTGGCTTTGTCTTGTGAACGTCTTATACAGGCAAACCATGAGTGCATGAGTTCCATGGTCCTGTCACATCAAGAAGACCCTGTTTCAGTCTGATTTTCCCTGACCTCTGGCTCTTACAATCTTTCTGCCTCTTCTTTTCAATGATCCCTAACCCTCTCTCACTCTCTCTCTCTCTCTCTCGTCTTATAGATGTCCTGTTTGTGGTTAATAACTCTGCTGACTCTTAGTCTGTAGTTTAACCAGTTCTGAATTTTTGTGTTAACTATCATCTATTGCACAGAGAAACTTCTTTGATGAAATCTGTGAGCTTCACTAAGCTAAGTAGAGAGATAGAAACTTGGAGGGAAGTTTGCTACTATGTCCATTTAGCAAAATAGTGATAGATTCACCCCTAGGACTTGTGAAATATATATCATGCAGTCTTGGTTAGATTTAGAGTACCAGAAATGTGTTTCCTCCTGTGGAATGGGCCTTAAATTCAATCAGAAAGTAGTTAAATGTCCATTGTACTCATGGGCATACTAGTGATTACTGTAGTTCATATGGTTGACATCTGTGTAAGATGTTGATGATACTCCCATGACAGCAGCTTACATAGCACCTTCCAGCACTGTGAAAGCTAATTAATGGGGAGGAAGCTTCCTAGCCAGTACCAACTTGATTTCTTCATGACCTGAGATCAAAATATGTGGTGTCTTCAGTAGTAGGGAATTACTATCAACTTCTGGTGGGCAACCTAGAGCAATGGCAATAGTCTGTATTGTTTTAGGGGCTTCTAAGACACCCCTGATCAACAGCTTAAGGTGTATTATGCTGCACTTGGTACGGGCTTTTTATTTGGCAACATATGGCTTCTGGGAGAAACACACCCCTCCCTGTGTAGGGTAATTCTCATCAAACCCTTTTGTATCAAAATATGGAGCTTATAAAATACAGGTTTGCTTATGGTTTTTCAATCTCATTGGTATTAATTATTCCTCTCCCAACCCCCTGATTTGCTCTACCCATCCATTGCTATCTCCTCTTAAACCTCACTCTCAATTATTCCCTTTCCACTTCATATCGCTTGTGTTCTACTGTGTCCTCTCCCCTAAGTATTCAGAGTCACTCACAGTTTGAAGGAAAGGTCAACCATTGCATGGAAGTTGAGGTGATAGAAGTCTGAGGTAGCTAATCATATTACATTCATAGTCAGGAAGCAGAGTCATGAATGCTGCTGCTCAACTTGATTTCTCCTGTTACTCGGTCCAGAACCCTAACCTGTTGAATAGTGCTACCCATGCTTAAGGTGGCTCTTCCTACCTAAATTAATCTAATTTAGAAATTCCCTCACAGACAAACCTGCAGATTTGTTGCCATGATGATTCTCACTAAGCTGACAATCAAGATTTTCACAAAGGAATATCAGAATCATTGCATGATAAGAACACGTAGGACGTGCAACTTAATGAGATATGTCCACAGATAATTTGGTCATAGACTTCTTTACACAGTTTTTTTAAAGATCACACACAGGATACATCAAGGGAATGAGTTTGGTCATATGAATCAAGTGATGTTTTTGTTATTATTTCTCCATAGCTATCAACTTAAAATACCAAGCTGAATATCTGATGCCCTTTAAAATGTAATCCCATTTGAAAATAATTATTTTCTATTTGTTTAGTGATGAGATTCTGAATAGGCAGAAAAAGAAAAACAAGAGCATGTCCCCCAATATACTATCTAGATATGAATATTTAATATATAATGCTTTCAAATTTCTGGTTTAAGTGAAGTAATTGTACATATGCATGCAATCCAATCACACACTCTAAGCTCCTTGTCTGACATTGTTTCTTCATCTGGACATTTTCATTATTTCTTCTGCAATTGTTCATAATACTTATTCCATTTTGTTATTTCTTATCTATATTAATTTCTTGTCATTGTTAATCGATTGTGATGATGCAAGGATCTCTATACAGAATGCAGATCACACAATCACCAGTGATAAAATCCAAATAGAGGTAATCAGTATGAGTAGAAAGTGAACACAATTGAGGATATTTTATGCCTTTACTTGTATTAAGATTTCATGTATCTCTTGAGGCCTCAATAAAACCCAAACCTCTGCATTTTTATTGCTAGGAGAATTTAACTTTGTGTAGTTGTCAATTTTTTTCAAACCAGCTCACAGTGTGCAGCATTTTCCAAGATGCTGCCTTTCTGTTCTAAGGTGGTGTTTTTAATAATTTTCTTATATTTTCTTTATATATTTGCTCATAAATATATACACAAATCCATTCTTACCATCCATAATAAACAGACAATCCTCAAAGTAAGTAAATTCTCCAGTTCTAAGCAAACTTCATTTATACAGCATAGACAGGCGCAAGAATTACTGGAGGGAGGCAATGATTTGACACCATCTCCCTACTGTCCTCCTTAGAAACAACTCCACCAGATCCTTATTGATGATGCCGAGTCCATAAATTGCATCGACACGCAATCCACATAAGGTGCTCGCTGATTTTCTTTATAGTATCAAAAGAGAATATTCTCTAAGGACATAATATTAGCATAAATCTATCTAATCTTTAAATGTTTCTTTAAGGAATCTCAGTGAGTGGGTAGCTCATTGAAGAACATGTGAATCTTTCTATGCTCCCATCCAGTGGGAAATTTCTCTTGGCAAGTGCACAGTAGTCAGCAGAGGAAACTCAGGAAATCACTTCCACCATTGTCCCAGACTAGAACCTTCTATCAAATACACTCGAATTATATTATTCACATTAAGAATATTGTTTGGTGTTATGACTTCCATACCCCACACAAGGAAGCTCTTCACATGCTGAAATTTCTGTATTTCTAATGACTTGGAGTAAGGGTAAGAAACTCGAAGTTTTTATAGACTTGGGTGCTTTTAAACCTTTAGGAGGAAGAGGCTTAGTCATAGCAAATCATTAGTAAGAAAGACTATTAGGTAAAATCTTTTGATGAATCATTTTGAAGTAAAGAAACAGCCTTGAAACTCAACTCAGCAAGCAGTTGAATCCCTTATGAGTAAAAAGTTTGCCTTGTTACTAAATATGAACTTCAGTCATATTCATATTTGATTTTCTATTTTTTTGTCTAGAAGTAATGTGATCATTATCTTTCTTTGCTTCATCAAATGCTGATTTTTTCTTAAATAAAATGCAGTAAGAGCACTAAGATGGGACTGGAGAGATGACTCAGAGGTTAAGAGTTCTTACTGCACTTGCAGAGAACCTGGGTTTGGTTCCCAACATTCACACAGGGCTCACAACTACCTGTAACTCAAGTTCTAGGGGATCAGATGCTCTCTATTTGGCCTCCACAGCCACCAGACATGGATATGATACACATATATGTGGGCACTCACACATACACATAAAATTAAATAAATATTTAAAAATGAAAAAAGCACTACAAAATAAAGACATTTAAAAGATGATACATATTAGAGAAATATGTTTTCATGCACATAAATTCTGTAGAGTACATATGTATTCTATAGTTATCAGTGCATAACTTCATAAGCGAATCAGATTATTACTGTTTAATGTAATATTCCAAGTTGGAAAGTTAGTTCTAGCTTAGGTGTGTAATCTCTGTCAGAATTGAGATGATCGGTATACCTT